CTGATGGGGTAGGTAAATTTGTTTCGAAATTGCCCTTGGATGGCCAAACAATAAAAGAGATCCGTTATTGAATTTCGAAAAATTATACTTTATAGAACCATTAGGACAGAGCGACCCGAAGGCGAGTTTGGTACAAATTTACTTGTCCCATCAGACCTCTACCCTGCCTAAGTGTGTGCGCTTCTCGTTTACCAGAAAATCAAGTTTTTCCGTTGGGGGTCTAACTTAATAGTGGAATACTTCATTCTTGTATCCAAATAGCACTAATTCCATAACTTTGTGCTCAATTATTGATTTGGGCGCCTTTCCTTTCGGAGTAAATCAATATATCTAAAGGAGGTGCCAACAAAACAAATTAAAAAATGAGTGGAGTCGCCTTTGGAAGTTCAAGTAAAGTACGATTTCCTATGTTACCAAAAATTCCAAAGGTGACTCGATTGCAACTCATTTTTGATCGCATACTATAAAATGTAAGAGACTGCCGCCAGCTACGCTTTTAAAAACTATTAGACAAATACAGGGTGCATTATGTATGGAATATTATATCTGCAAATAACGACTGTATACAAAATTTTTCTATATAAAAGTTGTTTAGCATTTGAATTCCCATAATATGACAGAATTCAGTTGTTTTTATTTCAGAAGACAACTGAATTTTTTTAAATACCAATGTACCTACCCTTTCATTGGGCTCATTTGACAGAGGTTTTTTTTGCTTTTTCGATGAGGTAACATGTTAGTTCCCTATAGAAAATTCTTCAAAAAAAATTTAAAAAGTCTTTACTTCGTAATTACATCAATAACATTAATCTAGATACCTTACATCTAAATAAAACAAATGAACGTCTACGTTTCTTATTAAATTTTGAAGACGAAACGAAATTAGCAGTAAAATAGTTTTAACCACAATAAATGTTCAAAATGTTCGCCATTAACTGCAAACCAGTAACCTAACGTATCACAAACGGCTTGAAAAAAATTTCTTGTATATGGGCATTGATTTAAAAACTTTATTTAAACAATGATATGGGTGTTACATTAATGAAACGGGAAAAAAATATCTATCAAATGACTCTAATGAACGGGTACATTGCTATTAAATAAAATGCAATTGTTTTTCGTTATTCATTTGTTTTCTGAAATACAAACATCTGGCGGAGGAGGGTGAGCCACCCCTAAAGCATGTTTTGAGTTTTTGGTATTCCACAACAAAACTACACTCTTTATTGAAGAAGGTGCGGTTACCTTTCCTGGAGAGCATAAATTCTCTATCGTTAGGAGTTACCTTTTGTTCTATCGCCCCTCCAACCACTAAAACAAAACCTCAAAGATGATTAACATTTTACATTTGACAAAAAAAACGCCTTTGCTTAGAGGATGATTTGATTTCATCAAAATACTAAATAACATACTCAAAAAGATGTTCAGCCAAAAGGGAACCCTATTACAAAAATTGTTGACTACAAATACAAAAAAATACGTACGACCGACGTACCTACAGATGGAAGAAAGTTATTTTTTAAACGTTCCTTAAAATGATATATTATAAAGCGTATACATTTGATGAAATTGTGACACGTCCAAAAAACGGTGATCGCAATAGTCCCCTAGCTCAAACTAGGAAGCATACATTTCTACCATAAATACCGAATACACCCCCAACAACAGCGTTTTTAAGTAGATTTTAACTTGAAAAACTTTTAGAACCCCTAAAAATAAGTATATCATCCAACGCCCTATTTAAACAAAAATTAGACGACTATATGAAACTATATGAAACTATTCAGAACTCAAAATTTGTATAAAAAATAAATGTTTTCTTTGGATTTGAAACATTAAAAATCTTCATAGTTTTTCAGTTAGGGAAAGTACGAGGGAAAGTATCAGAACCTTTGGACTCTTCAGAATTTCTTTCATATAAGTAGGTACCTTTATTTTCAGTTAGGTGGAACCGCACTACGCACTTCCAAAAGTGTATGCCGAAACCTTCATTTGATCCAAGATCTATCTATCTTGACCCCAGCCCATTCGGCTCTGCCAAGTTGGTCTGCGTGGTTTCGTTATACAGTGATATTTATTAAGAAGAAGACAGAGGGGTTATTTACGTGCATTGTTTTTCCCTATGTCTACTTTTAAATGACAAAATCGCTCTTGAACCGCGCCTTATTTTATGCAACCAAAATAACTTCTTAAGTAAAATGAAGATCTGGGCGTCCTATTAGTTAATTGGAATATTATTACTTTGGCTTCCGTATTTTTATTCGTGTGCGATGTATTCAACTGAAGAAAAAGTTGATATTGTCGATTGGTATAGTCAATGGTATAGTGTAAGAGGTTATTTTCTGTGAAACCAAAGCAACAATACTCAAATTACTGAATATGACAGCCAAATCATAAACTCTTTGGCTTTTGTTTTAAGAAGTTATTTTGGTTGCATAAAATTAGGCGCACTTCAGAAGCGATTTTGTCATTTAAAAGTAGACAGAGGGAAAAACGTAACACGTAAATAAATAGCACTGTATAACTAGATGAGAAAGGTAGGTATATATTAAAAACGAACATGTAAATATTTTAAAAGTGACCACTCTCAAACAAAACGTGAATCATTTGATACGTGTCACCGAAACTTGCGTAAGTTACGTAAATGCAGATAAAGTAAACCTGTTAATCTAAACTAATAAATGCTGATTTCTTATTTTCGAATGTAGTTGCTCCGCGGACGCGGTTGGTTGTACATCGTCGTTGTCGTGAAACTGGTGTTCCAACTTCCTCAAAAATCCTTGGTGTAACAGAACAGTAAGGTATGGAATTGTTTTATTTCTTTGAACATTTTTGAATTCCCTTTTCAAGTCTTGAACTATTCAGATCTTTACACCATTTCTGTTATATGGCACGTACTTAGGAAGGTTTTTTAATCGGCACAGACTTTTTTGCGCTGCTGAAAACCAAACAAAAAGTCACAGCGAGGTTTTCCAATTCTGTTGTTTAAAAGTTGTATGCACTATGGGGATAATGAAGAGAGTCGTAATTTATATTTTGCATTTACGGGATCAAAACAGTCGTTTAATTTGTATTTTTTAAGACAGAAGTTGCTCATAGGTTCCCAAAGGATTACTTGGGGTTAGAATATGTTACTCATACTTCATGGTGGTTTCATAGTGGTAGGTAGACGGTTTTAATTCAGAATGTCTAATGTTTTTATTAATCACATTTAAACGTATGTTTTTTAGTAATGCCTTCAATAAAGAAAATTGCTCATCAGTAACATTAATAGACATTTCAAAAAATGTTGCCTATAGGTTTAGCAGATCCATCAGACTTGCGAATCAAATCGATATTCTTATAGGGATCTTTTGCTAATTGTCACCTGATATTTAGAATCGTAGGGAAGTAAATTTTGGGAGCAAGAAAAAACAATTCAGTTTTGTCCGTCAGAGACTCCTGTGGAAGTCATTTTAACAAGTTTTTTTTTGGGTGCTTTAATTTAAACGCTTCCGGGAAAGTGAAATAGAGGTACTAAAATGGTGGCAATTTCCAAAAATGCAATAAAAAAATACGGGTTGCCAATGTTGCCATTTAAAATAACGAAGTTACTAGCTACTTCCGGCATTTCCAAAAGTGCCACCATTTTGGAAATATTCCACATCCATTTGGCCAAGAGAGGAACACCTAAGTACAAATTTTCAAAAACCTATACCTATTTTTGTTTTCCCAGAAACGTTTAACTAAAGCTTACAACAAAAACACCCTGTATTGTTCTGGATTCTGAAGTAACCAAGAGTTAAATAATTCTTACAGTTACGCTCGGAAACTACTTTCAATTTTCAATGAGTTTACCTTAGCAGGGATGCAACCGATTCAGTTTTACAATTTTTTAATGAAACTAACAGAACGTTTTTAAAACTTTTTCCTTTAAAAAGGCGAACTCGACAAAAGTTCATAAAATCTTCGGTCCAATTCCGCTAATTGTTCTTTTACCTTAGAAAAGGTGTACCCTACTAAAAAAGCCAGTGCCAAGCCCCCTGAAGGCGAATTCGACACAAACCTAGGCAGAGTACTGAGTAGAGCTCTGATGGAGTAGGTAAATTTGTTTCAAAATTGCCCTTGAAAAGAGATTTGTTATTAAACTTTCGAAAAATGTATACTTTTTACAAGCAGGACCGTGCGAGCCAAAGGCGAGTTTGGTACAAATTTACTTATCCCATCAGATCTCTACCCTGCCTAAGTGTGTGCGTTTCTCGTTTACCGGAAAATCCGTGGGGGATCCAACTTAATACTACAAATACAAAAAAATACGCCCCCCCCCCCTAAACTCTCATTGCCGTACTTACAAAACACTAACAAATAACTATAAGTGAGAGCCTGTACATTATTTACATTTCCTCATCAAAATCGATATGCTCATCTTTATGTGGCAATAAGAGACATGAAAATACTTTCATACAGGGTGGCCCACTGAAAACAGTCAATGCCAATTTTACCCACTTAACGACAGTTTTGCCACTTTCCCTATGTCTACTTTTAAATGATAAAATCACTTGAAGCGCGCCTTATTTTATGCAACCAAAATAACGCCTTAAATAAATTGAAGATCTTGGAATATTAATGCTTTGGCTTCCGTATTTTAATTTTTGTTCGTCTACGATGTATTCAACTGAAGAAAAAGTTGATATTGTTTATTGGTATAGAGGTTATTTTCTGTGAAACCAAAGCAACAATACTCAAATTACTGAATATGACAGCCAGATCAGTGACTTTTATTTGTTTTAAGATGTTATTTTGGTTGCATAAAATTCGGCGCACTTCTGAGGGCCATAGAAAAAATCCGAAAAACGATATAGGTCAATCCCGATGTCCATTTTTTAAAACAAATATCACTGTATATTCCACTTATGAGCGACTGGAATTTTCCTTTTTGAATTCATAAAGGAGTATAAACGCTCAAACTGATTACCTACTTTTTGCTTTCATCAGCTGCTTTAAAAAAGAAAAAAAAGAACGAATAATAAAATCATTTAATAATGTAAAAGACATCAATTATAAGAAATGTACAAATAGTTTATAAAAATTGCATTATTACATTCCATTGTAAGCCGGACCGCCGCCACCTTCTGGTGTAACCCAGTTAATATTCTGCGTCGGATCTTTAATATCGCAAGTCTTACAATGAATGCAGTTTTGAGCGTTTATTTGCAATCTTTGCCCATCTCCAGATTCTAAAGGAACAAATTCGTAAACGCCTAAAAACAAAAGTGAGTTATTTGCATGACCAATCACTGTGTTCGTGTATGTACCTGCAGGGCAAAACCTTCCTTCCGGACCGTCGTACTTATCCAAATTTACTTTAACAGGTACGCTATCATCTTTAAGTGTTAAATGAGCTGGTTGATTGTCCTCGTGATTTGTACCGGTTAGGGATACCGATGTGAGGATGTCGAAGGTAATTTTTCCGTCCGGTTTAGGATAATCGATTGGTTTACATTCAGCTGCTGGTTTTAAGCTATCGCAATCTCGACCTAAACGACATCTTGCTTTAAAATAGTTAACTACACTTCAGCAATTACCTCCGTGTTTGAATGTCCAAGGCTCGCGCCCGCCGATCATCATGGAGAAGCCGCTGTACAGTATACCACCGTATAGTCCTTTATGAAAACTCGGACGGCAATTTCTAATCGCGTGCAGTTCTTTCCAGACAAAGCTGTTTTTAATTTTGTCAGTGTAGCTTTTGGGTTCATACCCTTCCGTACTTTGTTTTTCGCCGTTAATCGCCTCTAGGGTCGCTTCGGCCGCCAACATTCCACTTTTCATGGCATTATGAGTGCCCTTTATTTTCGGAACGTTGAGGAAGCCGGCCGAGCACCCTACCAAACACCCCCCTGGGAAGGTTAATTTGGGCAAACTCTGAATACCTCCCTCGACAATTGCTCTCGCTCCGTAACCGATTCTAGTTCCACCTTCAAAATAATGTTTAACAGAGGGATGCAACTTAAATCTTTGGAACTCCTTAAATGGACTGATGTATGGATTAGTATAATCTAAGCCTACCACAAAGCCGACCGCTATAAGTGGGGTCGATTCGTTTAAGTGATACAAAAATGAACCACCGTAAGTGCGCGTATCCAGCGGCCATCCCACCGTATGTTCCACTCGCCCAGGTTTGTGTTGTCCCGGATCAATTTCCCATAACTCCTTTAATCCTGTAAAAACCCCACGGATTAAGAGTCACACTACACCCAGCATACAAACCCAGTCCGTAAGTTTGCGGCTCGCTGTCGCTACGCAAATTGAACCTCTGAATTATTTGCTTGCTTAAATGACCGTGGCAACCTTCGGCGAAAATCGTACACTTCGCGTGCAACTCCATTCCGCGCTCGAAGTTGTCTTTGGGAGCGCCGTCTTTTGCGATTCCCACGTCGTTAGTCGCGACGCCTTTTACGCTGCCATCCTTGTGAAACAGAATCTCAGACGCCGCGTATCCCGGATATATCTCGACGCCCAGCTCTTCGGCTTGCTCGCCTAACCACTTGACAAAGTGGCCCAGTCGCACCACGTAGTTACCATGGTTTCTTAGCGTCATACCTACAATGTTTTTAAAGTAATTGGGTGTAATCGCTCCTACTTCCTACTGTTTTGTTTTTATAAATATAAATCCCCCCCCCCTGGCTTAATGCAATTTTACAATTTTAATTGGAGGTCTTGATCAATTCTAGAACAGTTGCAACAATTAACTCGTTTATGATCACTTTTAAAAGTAAGGGAAGCCAACTTCGCGTAGCCTCTTATTATTTTTTTATTTATTTATTAGCCTGATCTTGTTCTGGGCCCTCAACAAGCCCAAATATTTTTTAAAAAATTAAAAAAATTATAAATAGACTACCTTTTATAGGGCTGTTTGGCTCTAGAGAGCACTCTAAGATTTTACAAACAATTAAAATTAAATACCCAAGAAAATATTAAAAGCCATAATCTAAAGTTTCAGTTTCATTAGGTAAGGATCTTTCAAATAGAGAATAAAAATGATATGGGTAGAGAGAGAGACATTTTGTTATAGAAATCTTTTGCTTTAACAGCAATAGGACCTTCGATTAAAAAGTAGCCAAAGACATGGACAGATGAAGGAACCAAAGCACTTTATAGTAATAGGGGTAGATGGTAAAGTAATTCAATATTGGGAAAAATTTACCTATTAACCATGGTTGGCTATTGGGAATTGTTTTGGCATAGTAGGGGAGAAATTAGAGGAATCAAAAAATAAACACTCTCAGTTGCCCAATCTCCTCAATTATGCAAAGTAAAACCATAATTCGTGAATATTTTGTGTTATTTAAATTTTGTCCTGTATTTTTCTTTAAAGCAGAAACTTATTTTACTGATACCTATTTATTATTGTAGTTTTTCGTATTCAAATATAAAAAATGTACGGGATCTACCATTGAAAAAGAAAGTAATCCTTTACAGTATACTCTCAACAAATTTGAAAAAGATTGATTAGCAAGTAATCGAGGTAATTGACTTGATTATGGTAGCAGACTCGTCAGCCATTTTTCAGTCATGAGGTTTATCTTTATGCATTAATAACGTAGTTTTTTTTAAATAATAACACAATACATGCAGGACATGGAACGTTTTGCAAACGTCAATTGTAGATGGGCTCCAACATGGCGGACGAGTCATCTGCTGTATATAGTAGCTATATAATTGACCATTCCAGGACTTTTTGCATACCCTGTATACACATTTCTAATGACACAACTACCGACTTGCATTTACAATCCCACACCACTCTCGAAAAATGTGTTTAATATCAAGTACTGTAAACAAAGGCAATTAAAAAAATTGTATCTTACAAATCGCAGCGGAACGTTGAGCATGTGCATTTTTTTAGAGAGTCACGTTGGGTTCTACACGCAAGTGAACTGTGAACTACTGTCGCCACTTTGAACTACTATTTCAAACTACAAACTTTAAATAATGGTTTCCAGAGCAAATACTGAGTTTTAAAGGGCAGTAATATCAATCCTGAAAGAGGAAGAGCAGTTCGGATTTGGAAAATGCTTAACGACCTTCAAAAATTGTTTGATGCAAATAGCCAAACTACCAATCTACGCATCTCATACCAGGCAAAATTGGAATTGGAATCCGTCCAGATTTAGTTAACAATCCGAATTTGTCCTCCGTTACCGGCGTATTCAAAGGAGCTCCTTTCTCTTTCCAATCTGGTATTAGTTCGTTCAACGATATCGGTTCGATGCACGCTCCCGACAGCGTGTGACCACCAACCTCGGAAGCTTTCTCGACTACGCAAACACGAATTTCCTGCCCGCTGGCCGCCGCCAGTTGTTTTGCCCTGATTGCGGCCGACATGCCGGCAGGCCCTCCCCCAATGATTAGTACATCGGTTGCGTCTTCGAACCGCTCCATCTTTACATCTGGAAGATTGCGGTTCAGTTTTGCACGAGCCGAAAGTCGCCTTACCTTTCCATCTTTCGTCCGTTTCGCGCGGATGAATTGTGTAGTGTGTCGTGATTTTTGGAAAGGTGGACGTCGAGGACCACCTCAGGTGGCTTACTGCAATTAGAGACGATCAACATATTTCCCAATAGCAAAATAATCGTGTTAGTATATTTATATCAAAGTACAAAGTTCACTTGAATTTAGGTAATCAGAGCAGCTGGATTGCACTAAAAGTATCAGCACTTAAATTGATAATTAGTGGCGGTTTAATTAATTAACCGGGGTTTAATTTGGCCGGTACACTTACAAGAATTCAATTTTAATAAACTTTTAGTTGCCATGATTTTTGTAGTTTGTTGCTAGGGTTACTGCATACTTCAGCTGATTTGTGGCAACAACATCACAGCTGACTGTCACCATGCTTTGAGTTGTATGTAACAGATGGCACAAAAGTAGCTACCACAGAAATAGAGTATTTTAGTTCAGTTGTAACTACCCTAAAGAAAAATGCCTACTTTACAGGGTGCGGCAGAATGATTCCCACCTTACACCAGATTAGTGCATTAGTAGATATGGAGACGTGGGGAGTGTTTCATCCAGTTCGGCGAAGGTTTAGATTTGTTATCATTCTTTAAAAACGACGAATCTGTGACGGTAAAAGAAAAAAACTTTTCGTTTCCGCTCGCGATTCAGATTAACACTAGAGCCGCTGGTATAATTTACAAATGGCGTGTATAGGTGGTGGCGGTTTGTAAACATTGGGTTATTTTTGCAGGATTTTAAATGGAAAAAATTGTACTTATTTAAAAGCGAATTCAGTATAAATGTATCCCGCCGTTTTTGAGACTTGAAAATATAACTCTTGGTCCTATTTTACATAAGTTTCGAATATTTTCGGCACTGATCGGAATTTCCGAATTTTTAAAACATCATTTTACTAGGCCCTGAAATACGCAACTTTTTTCTAATTTAACCGACCGTGTATCTCATGGGTTTCCGAGTCCCCCACGGTTTTTTTTAACATAAAACGGGCAATTTTGATTACGAAATGTGTATAAGTACCTCCATAGGTACACATTTAATTGTGGGCATGAGTAATAAAACTGCGTAACCGTTCAATCCGGTTCACTTTCAACTGTTATCTATTATAATATTCAAATATTTAGAATTAGTTTCTTCGTGGACGCCAAAGGAGGTGCATTTGCACAGTAAGTACCTACATTCTTTTCTGTAAGTCTAGAAGAAGCTTAGCTAAACGAAATCTTAATTATGCATAATGTATTAATTGTTTGTAAAACTGCCATTATAATATACAGTGCAATTTATTAAGAAGTAGACATAGGGATTTACATGTATTGTTCTTCCCTATGTAGAGCACAATCTCAAATTTTTATGCAAATCGATGCATTTTGCAAAAATTGCTATGTTTATTATTGTACTAATTTAAGCTTCGTTTCCTGAACTGTATGTCACAAGTGCAAGACACATATCGCACCGGAGTGGTAGATTCCCTGCTACTTGGCTTCAAGTGACTTTTCACAAAAACATTTATTATATTTATTTCATTTTATTCTTTCTATTTTTAGTGCTATGAAAATTCTAGATCAAAAACTTCTACGCCCATGGATGAAAAGAAAGGACGACTACACAGCCCTAGTATTGAAGTGGCGGTCCTTAATGGAAAGCTAACATGGATCTACGTAATGCCAACTTACAAACTGCTCTTCATTTGGCTGCTGAATGCCAATACACGCAAATCGTTCGAGTGAGTATCCGCCCGATCTTTCTAATATGCAACTAACTAACTTCTCGTCGAGGAAATCGCAAGTCTCAACATCGCGGATAAAGACCAGTCACGATTCTCTTCGCCACCACCAGCTACACCACTGCCAATTACCTACTTATGGGGTTAGACACAGAAGGATCTGACAAGAAAGTTATCTGCTAGTATTGTCTGTCACACAGTAAGTACCTACATTCGTTTTCTGTAAGTCTAGAAGAAGCTTAGCTAAACCACATTTTAATTATACATAATGTGTTAATTATTTGTAATTCAAAACTGCCATTATGTAGAACTCAAATTGAATATACAGTGCAATTTATTAAGAAGTAGACATAGGGATTTACGTGTATTGTTTTTCCCTATGTCTACTTTTAAATGACAAAATATCTAAAGTCACTAAATATAGAACGTACCGCAATCCATTGGGCTCGTGTGTTAGAGAGAGAACGCATGATTTTTGCCCAAAAATGGCGGAAGTTACCAGATTCTAGTAACTTTAATGTTAGGGATTGTTCCACCTGTTTGGAGATATCTGTATATATTTTTATAAAACATGACAGTACTATGAAGTTAGGTTATAAAAAATTACAGCTATTCAGATTTTATTTGTCAATTTTTTTAAGTTGGCAGCAAATTTGCCCAAAAATGGCGGATGATTGCGGTACTTTCTACATCTAGTGACTTTAAAAATATCTTTTGAAGGGCGCCTAATCTTATACAGCCGAAATAACAAAGATCTGGCTGTCATTTAATTAATTTGAATATTGTTGCTTTGGCTTCAGAGAAAATAAATCTGGTTTTAAAGGATTGAAAGTTACAAAATGGAATTAGTAATTTTTTTAAGCAATAACATTTTTTTAATTAAAACGCTGTGATAAATTATTATTATTAATTTTTTGAGGGTCAATACTTTTTTTTTATAAAACCATCATAGGGGTGAGATCGAAGGGACTTCTGCGCATTTTTGTGTGGCAGATCAGTATTCTATTAGCCACTTTCGACTCAACCATCAATAAAAGATCTTGTCGAAGGCTACCACATTCACTTTGTCGGTACCCGCTTCCCATTTTCCTCGTGCACGTGCAATTCACGTTTAAAGTTTTGACTCCACCATCAGTAAAATCTTGTTGGGGGCTACCATATTCCCTTTGTCGGTATCCACTTCCGATGTTCCATTCCCTTCCAATGCGCGGAGGAAGATTTGACTCCGCCATCAGGAAGATCTTGTCGGAGGCTACCACATTTCCTTCTTCGGTGCATACTTTATACATTACACCCACATTTTAGTGGATTTCGCTAAAAACCTTCCACAAGATAGTACTTAATTTTTGGGACACTTCTCATTACTCAAGCTTCTATTAGCGACACGAGAAAGAGAGACAGCGATTCGAGATGTACGAAACGTTAAACCGCGTGACAAAATTCGCAACGGAAGGTAAAAGGCGCCCGAAGTTGACTACCTCGCGAAGACGCGCGCCGTGCAAAAGGTCGTTAATTTCGCCCCTAGGACGAAAAACAAAATTCCGCCACGCAGGAGTTGTGCACGTTTACAACAGATTTCCGACGACACCAATTTGAAAAGAATCGGACAAAAACTGTAGTAGAAGATAGGGCAAAACTGAAAAACCTTCACGTCAGTAAACTACGCTCGAGGATGACTCCCAGATGTCGTCAACCCCACATCATGTAGCCCTAAGGTTGAAAAATTACACGGCCTTTCAGATACACGTACACCCCATTTGCCTCTACAACATTTGCTGCCAGCCAGCCAGCCAGCCAGCCAGCCAAAGTGAGATTAAAGCTACTTTTTACAAATTAATTTGCAAAAATGCGCTAAAAAGGGGTCCGTCCAGCATAATATAGATTTTGGAAGTGGAGCTTAATCTCAAATTGTTATGCAAATCGATGCATTTTGCAAAAGTTGCTAGGTTTATTGGTACTATTTTAAGCTTCGTTTTCTGAACTATGTGCCACAAGTGCAAGACACATTCTCTGCTACTTGGCTTCAAAGTTAGTGACTTTTCACAAAAACATTTATTATTTATTTTATTTTATTCTTTCTATTATTTCTATTTTTAGCGCTATGAAAATTTTCTAGGTCACAAACTTCTACGCCCATGGATTTCGGATGAAAAAAAAAGGACGGCTACACAGACCTAGTAAATTGAAGTGGCGGTCCTTAATGGAAAGCCAACGTGGATCTACGAAATGTCAACTTACAAACTGCTCTTCATTTGGCTGCCGAATGCCAACACACATAAATCCGTGAGTATCCGCCCGATCTTTCAAATATGCAACTAACAACTTCTTGTCGAGGAATTCGCAAGTCCCAACATCGCGGATAAAGACAGTCACGATGATGCTCTTCGCCACCACCAGCAACACCACTGTCAATTACTTACGGGCTTAGACACACAAGGACCTGACAAGAAAGTTATCTGCTAGTATTGGCAATTATCTGGCTGGGAATGTCATTAGCATAAATAAAAGTAAGTTTTAATAAATAATAAATTTTCTAAATGTTAATTTTTTTTTCTTTATTGCAAATTTACAGTCTACTTCATTAAGAGTATTAAGTTAATGTGATGTATGACTTGGACTTGGGTCTTGGAAGATTAAGTGTCCACTGACAATTCGCCATAGTTCACTGTCACTTAGTGTTATGGGGGTAGGTCAGCAGGCCAGGTTTTGCTTAATCTTCTGATGGGTGGTCCGTCCCTGGTAGAGGTTTTCTATGAGGACGTTTGGATTACCTGTAATTCGTTGTTGGTAAGCGGCAGAGACAGTGGTGATTACGCTCGTGACATATGAAATTTGAAGGTCTTGATGGAGTATGAAGTTGCTAACGTACCATGGAGCGTTAACGATCGATTGCTCGGGGGTGTTTTCTTTTGGAACGCTTGGATTGGTTTTAAACGAGTGGGCTTTCACCATGGTTTTGTTCAGCAGGAGTTTAGAAAGTTTAGATTTGCGTCCCATGAGCCAGTACATTTGTTTGACTTTGTTATCCAACTGCTCCCTTTTCGTTTGGACAGGGGCAGGACAGATTTCTCTGCGTTGGGTAAAAGTAACTTGAACTGATTTGGCTTGATTGATCTTGATTCGCCATTTGGAATACCATCCAACCGGATCGTGGTCAGAGGAGAAAATAGCAACGTCATCCGCAAATGCCGCCAACGGTCATGTTATGTCGGCAGCATATAATAGGTAAAGGAGCGGGCCGAGCACGCTTCCCTGAGGGACCCCAGAATGTCTAGAATAGTGGAGAGAGACAGAGCCATTGAGTTTAACAGAGTAAGTTTCTATCAGTGCGGTAAGACTTCAGGAGAAGGTAATAGTTGCTATTAACCATATTTTTGAGCTTGTAGAGAAGACCAAACTGATACTTAATTAGGCAGTAAAGGTTGTTTAGGTATTGGTCTGATTGAATTCGTTTAAGTATAAGTTTCTCAATTAGCTTAGACGGGATTGGCAGCAGACTAATAGGTCTGAATGAAGATGTTTCATGTGGAGGATTACCGGGTTTGTGCACCATGATGATATCAGCGTATTTCCATGCAGTATTTGAATCATGATTTTCTCCATTTTTTGTATATCAACCATATGCATACTTATTTGTTGTACAGAAAATTGAATACTCTTTTCGAATC